TCTTCCTCCGGACGCGAGCTCCAAGGTCGTCTGGGTGAGTCTCCTCGACAGCGCGATTTCGTTTGCGCTCTCGGCCGGGTTTCCACTCTTCTTTTTACTTTTGCCACTCGTTCATTTCGTCTTTGTCTCGAGCCGCGACATGGCGCACAGTCTGCACTGGTACGCGCAAATCTACTCGACGTCGCGAACCTTGTGCGTCTCGTCGCTCCCGCAGCTCGCGCTGCGCGTCATGCCGGGCGTCACCAACTTTGGCGTGCTACGACGCGTGGCGATCTCGCTGCGCTACAAGCGCCACGCACTGGGGCCGCCGCGGGGCGCCGTGCCTGCCTCGGGCTGGCGCGCCTTCACGCTCGAGCAGCGCCACGGACGGCTGCTACAGCTCGTGCTCGCACTCAATGTGCTGTGGGGTCTCGCCGTTGCCGTCACGTCGGTTCGGGCGCTCTACTTACGGTCACCGTGCCCCGCCTACTGCGTCTACGCGTCGGCGCCGTGGTTCACCACCGAATGCAACTGCATCTACGCGCTTCTCAATTGCCGCGACGTTGGCATCGAAGCCGACGACAGCATCGACGATCGGTTTGCTTCGTCCATTGTTGGCCCGAACCTTGTTTTCCTGCATGTGCAGCGCTGCGCAGTCCCGAACGGCCTCGCACTCGAAACCATTTCGCAGTTTCAGAGCCTGCATTCCCTCAAGCTTGAAGTGACGCAGTTGGTGCGATGGGACGTGATTGGAACCTCGCTCCCGTCGTCGCTGATGCTCCTTGATGTGCGCTACAGCCGTCTCTCGTCGGTTCCTCGCATTATGCGCTCCATGCCGCCGTCCGTGCGCTGGCTTTTCTTTGTCGGGCACCCCCAGCTGACGGACATTTCCAGTGATGTCTATGCGAATTGGACCAATCTTCTCTCGCTCTGGCTCGGCGAGAACGCGCTATCGCACGTACGACCTACGGACATCGCACAATTGACATTGCTCCAGATTGTGGATCTGAGCAACAACCAGATCGCAGCCATTCCGGAGGCAGAATTTGGCGATCTTCCGATGCTTCGAACGCTCTACCTGCACAACAATGCAATTCGCGTGTTTCCGTCGACGTTGTTGCAAGCCAAACCGAACCTCGTGCTCACGCTCAACCACAACCCGATCACGACGATTGCAGATACCGTGGGCCTCTCGGTGCACATTGCATCGACGCCGTTCTGTACCGCGACGACGGCGTCGTCAGCATGCTATGACGACTGCGCGCCGAGTTGCGGCCGGCTCTTTGTCGGAAATTACCTCTGTGATCGCAGTTGCAACACGACGGCGTGCGCCTTTGACGGCGGCGATTGCCATTTTTAGCGTCAACTCGTTGTCCAAACGATGAACCTCATTCCCCCACGAGCGACTGGATAATCCCAAGACCCCAACGGGGACACGTTGTCACCGACGATCCGCAGCCGCGTTTGACGAGCGTGATGAGTCCATTGACAAAGCGTGCCACTTCCTAGAGTCTCATTCTGTAGGAAATGCACGAGTTAACTTGGATCCATCATCGCATATCCGACACGGCTTGACGCCGGCGAGGCGTGGGCCATGTATTTACGACACGTTGACTGATGGGTCTAGCTACAGCACGTGTCGGTGACTTCTGCGCATGCAAAGCTGTCACGATGGTGTCACTGATTATGGCCACGGACTTGAGCTCATTTCAAACTGCATGATGGATGGTTTGCGTGGTCCGTTGGACGAGACGGCTTACAAAAAGCCAGGGGGTTTGCTTTTATAACATTTGCTACAAGTCCACAGCGACGCCGCGCGGGGCTGACCCACCAACGCTGCGTGGGTTAGAAGAGACAGTCGCCCCCATCAAAGGCGCACGCTGTCGTGTTGCACGCCGCGTCGCAAAAGTAGTCGGTGACGCGGTCGCGGCTACAGACGCTCGCGCAGTCATTGCCGCAGACGCCTTGCGTCCCACTTGTCGTTGTCGTATTGCAGTAGAGGGTGTTGGTCATGTCGAGTCGGCCCCATGCGCATCCATCGCTGCACAAGGACGGTATCGGGTTTCGGTTCAAATAGAGTCCCAGCTTGGGGTTTGATGAGAGACGTGACAGTGGCAACACAGAAAGTGCGTTCTGGTCCAGGTACAGCTCGGCCAAGTGCGGTATGATTGTGCCGAGTTCGATTGGAAGCGCGGTCAATGCATTGTAGCCCAGGTCGAGGGACGACACGATGGAAAGGCCGCCAATCTCGGGAGGCAGCGTGGTCAAGCCCGTCGCGGGTAGTCGCAGCGAGAGCAAGTGGGTCCACTTTTGAAACACCGCACCCGATATGGTCGAGAGCGGGCACTCGGCCACGTACAGAAACCGAAGCGTCGGCGGCGGTGCCGATAGCACCTCTGGCAGCGACGTCAAGTGCGGTGCGTGGCGAAGATGCACGAGCATCGTCGACGATGGCAGCGCGAGAGCGGTCACGGGCCACTCCCGCATCGCCGTGTGCTCGAGCCAAATACCATAGAGATATAAGAACTGCGCGGTCGTTGTTGCGTTCAAGCCATGGGGGATGTCGCATCGCTGCACGTGCAGAAGAAAGAGGTCGGGTCCGAGGCGCGCCGGTGTAAAATACGAGTCGACGGACCGGCTGTCGACAATGTGGCCGCGGACGCAGTGGAGACGGGCGTAAACGCAGCGGCAGTCGCTGGTAAACCAAGGCGCGGCCGCTTGTTCGCAGTAGGACGGGCACGCGTCGCGGTGAAAGACTGCGAGTGTCGCCACAAGAAGGACGGCGCCGCCCCATAAAAGTCCGAGAACGAGCGCGGCCAGCACGACATTCTGGTGCTCTTGCTCCCACGTAAAGTACTCTTTACTCGCTTCCCACGCCACTTTGGCGACTTCGAACGAAACCGAACTGAGCCGCGGCATCGACGAGACGGTGAGGTGGCGACGCGACCCGGAGTGATCGCGCAGCGCGTCCGCGAGCTTGAGGGTGGCGGAGAACCGGTGCCGACTCCAGCTTCTGGTGCGCAGCAGCGGCCGTGGGGTACTCTTCTTGGTGTGGCGAAGCCGCCTCAGCACAAAAAAGTTGGAGACGCCCAAGATCGTCTTGATGACCAAGTCCGAGCCCGACGACGTCACGAGCAAGCGTGACGGAGGCACGTTGAGCGCGAGCCAGTCAAAGCTATGGCGCACGTAGGCATTCCCAAAGAACCGATACTGTATGATGGGCACGGCGAAAAAACAAGCGGAAACCCCGCCGTCAAGGCCGTCGACATGACGCAGTCAATGAGCCCGATGAGCTGCAGCTTCGAGTTGGCGCGCTTGAGCAGCAGGAGCCACGACGTGCAGAGGCAGTTGATTCCGAGCGTAATCGCGTACAAGTAGGCGACCTCGGTCTGCGCGAGATAGCGCGCCATTTTATATGCCAGATTTGTCTCGCAGCCGATGGCAACAAAGTGGTTGAGGCACACTTGAATGTTGTCGGGCACGGGCCACCGAGCTGCCCAGTACTCGAACGAGCAGCGTGACGTTGGTAGTGTCGGAATAGGATCGACGCGAGCCCGACGGAACGAGCACAGAGGGTAGAGATGCAAGAGCGCGATGGTGCCAAAGATGACGCCGCTCGGTAGCATCGCGTAGCCGTTAAGTGCAACGGCTTCCCCATCGTTGGCGACGAGATGAATGATCGAGAGGAAGCCGAAGTAGAGGCACGAGATGCCATGCATGAGTCGGAGGAGGCTGCGCCACGCCCAGCTCGATTGCGGAGCCATCTAAAAGCCAAAGTTAGACAGGTCATGTCCTGGATGTCGGAACCGGCGACCGTTTCAGCGTCACATTATTTGCACCAAAATTTATATACTCGTAATGGTTATAAACCGCCTCCACAACCGGTTCACGTGTCACTCCTGCCTCGACAGCACCGCCGGTGATGCGAGATATCGCCGCTTCGTTCGCATCGCAAGTCCAACTCGCCGTGGAAGCAGGTAGTTCTCACAAATCCACCCGTCGGCTGCACGTGCAGAAAAAGTGCCCAACGCCGGCGTCACTCTTGCCCTGCCCATCAACAATCAATGCACATGTTCGACGTCATCGCGAGGATCGCCAGCGCAGACAATGCTCACCGACGAGACAGGTTTTCATCCGCGTCCAGCTCTCGGAGCGCGGCCCGTTCGCTCGCTGACCTCGTGGATACCGGAGGTGATTGTCGTTGAGACCCATGGCTTTCAGGGATGGTTTCTCGCGGCCTGGGGCTTGAATCGCGCGCAGCTATGTACCACCATGATCATGCTCTTGATAACGTTAGAACGAGGTCACCTCACGAGATCCAAGTCGCGGCGACATCGATCTCGTACTTGGTATGCGACGATGGTCGTTTCAACAACGTCGTGTCGGAGCATGGGAAGCATTCGAGCGTCTGAAATGGCTAGCGACTTGAATCTGTCGGAAGATGCAAAATGCAAAGGCCCTGCCATCGCGCTCGAGGGTTGCAGACGCTGGGGTAGGTCGAGTGCCGTGATGGTCATCGAGCTGTGCAATCTCGTCGTTTCGATGACCGATGAGCGTGCACAGCCATCTAGGTACAATTGTAGAGAAAACACTGCTTGCAAGCTGTCGATGACAGTGCGTAGTTGGCCAAGTGCTCGCCGAACAAAGAATCGCTGGAGGTGTTGGCGTTCGTGCACGAGCGTTGTATACGTAGGCTCGGGTATGGCTTGGCGTTTAAGGTAGCTGGCGGCGCTGGTTGTGAAGGTGCTACATCGGAAATGGGTTGACGCTATGCAGGACAGGTACCTTATCGACGCTAGAAAGCTCTGGCGTGCATGGAACGAGCGCCAAAAGCACAACATTTGGATCAGAACAAGTTGAAGCGCGCGAAAACCCTCTAAAACATAATATATCCTGTATCGAAAACCACGGTATTTTAGGATTGGACGAATTTGACTGGTTGATAGTCCTGTTGGAGCAAAGAGAATCGTATCCATGGTCGCCACGCGCCGGTCCTTGCGTCTGTCCCTTGGTGGGACCGAGTCGACGGCGTCGGCGTCGCCGCCTCCGAGGCGCGCGTCCCGCGGCAAGGCTGCGGCCGCCACCGACGCATCGAAGGAAGCTGAGGTCGTCAAGAGCGAGGCCAAGGCCGCCAAGAAGACGGCCAAGAAGACGGCCGACGATGTTGCGCCCAAGGCCCGCGCCCCGCGCGCCAAGCGCGCGACCCGCGCATCCCTGTCCAAGTCCGACATTGACGCACTTGCGCAAGTGGCGCAGGAGGTTGCCGCGAAGGAAGCCGCCGAAGAAGATGCGGCCAAGCACGACGCGTCGGCCCGCGCTACGATGGAGGTCATCGACATCGTTTCGGAAGATGATACGGCGGTCGATGAGACTGACGAAGCGAAGACCTTAGTACGTGACGAGGCTGTTGTTGTCGACGTCTCGGCCCAAGAAGAAGACGCCTCGGCGCACGAAGAAGATGTCTCGGCCCACGAAGAAGATGTATCGGCCCAGGAAGATGACGTCTCGGCCGAGGAGATCGAATCCGCCGAAGATATGGCTGCGGATGGCATCGAGTCAGCTGAAGAAGCGGATGTTAAAGCCGAATCAGCCCAAGACGTTGTCGTCGACACGTCGGCCGACGAAGTCACGGCGGACGAGACGACTGCGGACGAGTCCATGGGCGACGAAGCCGCTGCGCAAGAAGAGGTCGAGGAAGAAGCGTCGGCGGTCGAGGAAGATGAGCACATTGCAATGGCCCCTGCCTCGGACGACGAAGAAGCGGACGAAGAGCACATTGCGATGGCGCCGGCCGCCGCCGACGACGCGTCACCCGATGCCGACATGGAAGAGGACGATGACGACGACGATCTCAACGCATTGGTATGCATGCTTCTTTCCTGTCGTCCATGCTCATCGTGAATGATCTTGTAGGTGGGCATGGCCATGGCGAGCTTCCAGGCGCCGCCGCCGACGTCGACGACCGCGACGTCGGAGGCGCCGCTGGCGCTGGTCCCGAGCACGCTCGAGAGCGGCGTGTCGTACGACAATTTGTACATGAAGTTCAACGGCCGCAAGTGCGCGCGCGGTGCGGAGCTCGTGCCGGAGCGCAAGCTGACCGAAGAGGTGTCGCAGCTGCACAAGCAGGCGGCGTACAAAGCCAAGATGGACGCGGCCAACTCGGGCGCCCATGAGAAGAAGGTGTCGCAGGACCGCATCCAGACGAGCCACAAGTGGTTCAACATGACGTCCAACGAGATGACGGCCGAAGCGAAGCGCGACATGCAGCTCATCAAGTTGCGTAACTACCTCGACCCGAAGCGCTTCTACAAGGTATGGTTGTCGCTTTGCAAGGATGCACAACTCACACTGTTGATAGTCGAGCGACCACAAGAAGGGCAACCTCCCCAAGGTGTTCCAGGTCGGCACGGTCATTGAGGGCGCGGCCGAGTACAAGTCGAACCGCCTCTCGCGCAAGGAGCGCCAGCAGACGTTTACGGAGGAAATCATGCACGACCAAGCGATCCGATCGTATACGAAGCGCAAGTTCAAGGACATCCAGGCTGCGCGCGCCAACACGTCCAAGCACAAGAAGCCTTTCAAGAAGGCCAAGCACTACAAGTAAATAGATGATGATGATAATATGATGAAGACGATTAGACCCTGTGTTGGCAGCTGTCGTGCAGTAAGTTGATAGAAATGTCAACTGTCGTCCACCAAGAGCTTAGCGCGATGGCGTATGAGTCCTGAGAGTTCTTAGAGGTTGTGTGCCCTTGGCATCGGGCAGACTCCTGGCACTCCAACACTGTTGCCAAGTTGCGCTCGATATATTGATGCTTATGAAACGGCTCCGCGAACAACACACACTACCTAATGTGCCATCAACCCCAAATAGTGTTAGCTGAAATAAATGGCGTGCATGGATACACTAAAAAGACCATGTCGTACACTATTTATGTTGTATGTTGGTTGGTGGCATCAAGTGAGAAATCAGTTTCGATGAGCAGCAAGGGCGGGAAGGCGAAGGGCAGTGGCCTCAGCTTGGAGCGGTTCATCCGCGGCAAGGCGCGGCCGACCAACTTCAAGAGCGAGAGCGCGGGCGGAAAGCGGCGCCGCGTCGAGAAGGCCGTGCTGCTGCGCACGTACCGCAAGGTCAAGGAGCGCGAAGAGCCGCCGGTCAAGGCAGGCGGCGGTCCCTCCTTCTATGACAAGGTACATACATTGCGTCCATGTCGCGATGGACGTCGTCTCATGCCTTCTAGTTCTTTGCGTCGATGCAAGATGGCGACGACGGCGATCGGCCGGCGAAGAAGGCGCCGCGGGACGACGGCGAAAAGGCGCGCAAGCCTGATCCGCTCTTCAAGGCCAAGCGCAAGGCGCAGGGCGTGCGCGACGAGCGCCAAGCCAAGCGTCAGGCGATCGAGGCCAAGCTTGAGGAGAAGCAGTCCAAGGTGGTTGCACGCAAGAAGCGCCACGTCAAGCTGAGCTTGCGCACCAAGACGGGCCAGCCCGTGATCAAGCACCAGATGAAGGACCTCCTGCACAAGCTGCGGCACTCGTCCTAGCCGTCTGCGTAATACTACGTCGTCTAACATAACAAGCACAAAAGGGTACAACAACACACAGTCGTGAGGTACATAGTATTGGCAAAGCAGGATGGGACTAGTCGTCTATTTACTTGGCCATCGGGTGCGCGGCAACGTAGTCGATGACCTGGGCCGGCGTCAAGAGGCGCTCGGCCTCGTTATCCGGGATCTCAATGATAAATTCTTCTTCCATGGCCATGACGACTTCGACGACGTCAAGCGAGTCGAGGCCGAGGTCTTCGACAAACTTGGCCGTCTCCTGGACCTTGGCGGCCTCGACCTTGTCGAAGTTCTTGATCACGCTGAGGACGCGCTCGCTGACCTCGTTGCGGTCAAGGAAGGTCTGGCTCGCGAAGAAGCGGCGGGGCGCGCTCTTGGCGGCGACGGACCGGACAAGCGGGGCAGCGAAGCGGGCGAACATATCTGCGGTTCTTGACTAAAAGACAAAACTGACCGCTGCTGGCCACCCACGCGTAGCCGTTGCACCCCACACGGTAGCGCATACAAAGCGCAAGCTTAAACGCAGCTTTGCATACCTTTGCACAATCAATAGATTGCAAAAATGTAATGTGAGAGGTTTTTACGCCTGCGCGCGGCAGCGTTGCAGCGAGCGGCAAACCTCTTTAATGTGATGAAGTTCATTTGCGTTCGATTACCCTACGAGGCGCTCTCGCAAGTGCGATATGGACCACGCACTTCAAACGTGCCGCGATTTTCACGTGAAGAACGTGGGAAATGCAAGTGTCAACGAATGTTCCAGCCGAACAATCGACCAGCCGACGCACACACATACTTCATGCCGTTGGCCAAGATGGAGAGGCATTGCAGCGGCGGCCTCCGACGAGGCGGAGACGATGCCACCGTCCGGGTGCAACCGGAGACGCTGCAAGAATCCTGGATCTACGCACTGTATCCAAGAAAACAGTGCACGGATCCAGGAGTGCTACGCGTATCGCTAGTGTCCGGGAATGCGCAACAGCCGCTTTCGACTCGTTGATGCTCGCCTGGAGAAGTGCGGCCTGTGAGAAGAACGGTCGTTTCGCGATGGTTCGAGCACCAACGCACGCAGGTGGTGTTTTTCACTGTGGTTTATGTGGTATATGCGTGGGAAACGTTCAGATGAGAGAGGGAGTCGCACTTGAGCGGGTGCGTGTTCAGTTGGCGGAGGGCCGCCAGCTCGGGCGAAAAGACAGGGCCGCAGGGTGGTCCTTGACTGCGAATTTGTATATCGTCGCCATTCCCGCATTTCCCACCGAGAGCATTGAGACCATGGCGGCGCCGTTGTACAAGGACATTAGCAAGAAGGCCGAGAACGTCCTCGGCGACGACTACGACTACAGCCGCAAGCTCAAGATCAAGACCAAGACGGCCAACGGCGTGACCTTCACGACCGAAGGCGCCATGGCCGCCAACAAGTCGATCCTTGCCAAGGTCGGCGCCAACTTCCGCGTGCCCCAGGTCGGCGGCTTGACGATCAGCAAGCTCCAGGCCACGACGGCCGGCCGCGTCCTTGTCGAGGGTGACATTGCCAACGCGATTGTCGACAACCTCAAGGTCTCGTTCAAGCTCGAGGACGGCTCGCGCAAGACGAACGCCAAGCAGGTTGGCAAGCTCGGCCTCGAGTACAAGCAGGCCGCCTTCACGACCAACGTCGAGGCCGACATTACGGGCAAGAACGTGACGGGCGCGGCCGTTCGGTCATTAGCGGCGTCACCATTGGTGCCCACGGTGCGTTCAACGTCGAGAAGTCGGCGGTCTCGGACTTTGGCGGTGCCCTCGCCTTTAGCGGCGCGGACTACCAGGTGTCGGTTGCCTCGAAGAAGAGCTTGAAGACGGTCGCGGCCAACTTCTACCACAAGCCCTGCTCGTCGACGATCTACGCGGCGTCGATCAACTACGATGTCCAGACGGCGGCCAACGCGGTCACGCTCGGTGGTCGCTACACGGCCAACGCCGAGACGACGTACGCCGGCAAGATCAACTCGGACGGCTTTGTTTCGCTCGCGTGCATCCAGAAGGTCACGCCGTTCCTCTCGTTGACGACGTCGGCCCACATTGACGCCAAGCACTTTGAAGGCGACGCCCACAAGTTTGGCCTTGGCTTGACCATCGGCTAAAGCGCGATTCGACTCGAACACGCCCAGTAGTATATTGTGTACGGTGACCACGCTATTATAATTCTGTCGTACCCACAATCACTCCGTGCGGGCTTGGCGCAGCGCCGTCGACGAAATGTCGTTGCGGAACGACGTCTCGGGCAGAGGCACGAAGAGCGACCGGAACGGCGCGGGCACCTGGGACACGACGGTCTCGGCGGCCACAAAGGCGTCGCCCACCTGCCGCCCGGCGACCACGAACGAGCACTGGAGCGACGCGATGCGGGCGAGCGCAGCCCACAGCGCTTCCTGGCTCATGTCGTAGTACTTGAGGTCGAGGAGCCGCAGAGCCGTGTCGGCGCCAATCACAAACGCACACGATGGAAAGAGAGCCGCTTTCTCGAGGAAGAGCGACGCGTGCGTGAGCACAACGGCCGCGTGGTGCGTGCCCACGATGGCCTGGACGCGGGCCTGCAGCGCGTCGCCGCCAACGCTGCCCTTGTCAGCGTTGCGCACCGAGAGCTCGTACAGAATGCGACGCGGCGGCTCGCCCGTCGCGGCAGCCAGTGCGG